GCCGCGGCTTATTCGTCGGACCCTTCAAGACAGTTCCCCAGAGCCCAGTTGGATGCCGCACCACCGAGGTCTCATCCATGTTCACCACCAGCACCGGCTTAGCGGCGTCACGCCAAATGTGATTCATCCACTGATGGAATACAGTAGCCTGCACAGTGAACAGTGAGGAACGCTTCAGAATGAAGACCTACATTTCGGGCTTGCCAGACGAAGCTAAAAAGCAGCCTGCCCTTTCCTGCGGCCAGAGCAGAACACAAACCAGTCTTACCAAGCGAGCCTAGATCCTGCGCTGCAGACTAGCCCATATTTCTATGTTCCCAATCTTCCCCTCTGCTTGACACTGAAAGAATGAAGCTCCCAGGCCGAACCATCACTGCGGAGGGTGGGTAACACTGTAACAGACGACCCCCCGCTGCGCTGCTGCTAGCCCATATCACAACACGCCAGGATTCTTAAAACGATGCGCGCGCAGCGGACCCTGTCCCAGCCAGCCTTCTGTCGGCGCTCAGCAACATCAACAACATCTTCTGTGCGTAAGCACCCATATCTTGCGCTCCACCTGCGGCGAAAGGCTGCTAGGTACTTGCGCTCCTTCCGCGGTGTACCCTGCACAAGCGAAACCAGGCGCTCTTTCACGCAAGACGGCGCGGCGGCAGGAATGCTCGCCAGAGCCACGTCTAGCATCTGCGCACGAGATGGTGCAATCCCATGCACTGTGTTCTGTTCCTCCACGTAGGCCACAAGTCGATGCTCCAGGCAATACTTGGCCGCGCAATAGACATCTCGCTGCCCAACCATTTTTAATGGCTCTAACTCCAAATCCACAAGAACCGACAGGGGCATGTGAATGTAAGCCCACTCAACCGTAGCCACTTGCTCCTCGGTGGCTGCAGCGGCCGAAGCGCCAAGCCTCCAACCTCTGCCACAAGCAAAATCAGCTGCCGCGCTGGAGCAATGACCGCTGAAACCATAAACGAGCATGGCCATGAGGCTGTCTGGAGCGCAACGCCAGAACCCATCCGCATCGCCTTCGACTTCCGTCGGAGCAGGCGCTGCGGCCCGTTTGCAGCGCTGACCCAGGTTCTTTATTTGGCGAGACAGCTCCCTCAGCTTCTCTTCGGGGCCAGGTGGAGGCATGGCTTCGAAAGGGTTTAAGGCAACTTCTCAAAACACATGGAAGGTAAGTTGACTTTACTACACACTCAAGCATGGGTTGCTGAGGACTGCTATGCCCGGAATCTTGGCTTGCTAGGCTGTGTTCCCAGGAAGTAACAGTCACCAGGCCAACTGAAACTATGGCTCGCGCTGCACAACCACAGCAGATTCAGGCTCACACGTGGTTGCCCCCAAAACATCAATCCACAGAGACACCGCCGTCTACCGGGGAGGCCCCCCCGGGCCAGGCTGTTCCAGACAGGCCAAATCAACACCGGAACCAATCACGCACATTCTAGGAAAAGCAACGCCAGCCACAGAGCCTTCAACGCTCAGCGCCCGCTCCTGCATGCATGCACCGCACATCATGCTTTGCTGGATTTGCAAAACTCTGGTCGACCCAGCAGACACCACACGTCCAACGCAACTGTCTAGACCGAACGACGCATGAGACAGGACATGCGTTCTCACACTGGCACCTGCAGGCTCTCCTGCGCCACCGCGACCTGTCGGCAATTTGTGCGTGTCTGTGTGTGTGTGTGTGTGTGTGTGTCTGTGTGTGTTTGTGACAACAACGTTCCCACGCATTCCTGCCTGCGTTGTCAGCGAGAAGTTGACCGTTGGGGTCAGCAGCAGCAACGCCTCCCCGAAGTACACCCACAAGTCTACTATAATGGAAAGAGTCTGGACCAAACCTTCTCGCGCACGTAGCAGCAGCTGGAGGTCTTCGTTGCTTAAGTTCTTTGTGGCCTGGCTTGGCCAGCAAGCCAGAAACGCGAAATCACACGGTGTCGCTCTACGCGAGCCTGCAGGAGGCGCTTGCGTCGTGCCATCAGGTTCCGGTGCTCTTTCGACTGCTCACGCAGCTCTGCTTTCAAGGCCTTGCGCGTCTCTTTCAGACGCAGAAGCTCCTGGTGCAGTACCTAACAAGCATAGCTTGGCATTCCAAACAAGCATGATCAAACTACAGAAGCCTACCTGCTGGTCGCTCTGCTTCGGAGGCATTACCCAGCACCTTGTGTCATGCATCGGCTTTCTTCCACACCCCAGAACCTTGGTTTGCCCCGCGCCTTCAGGTCCCCACGCAACGACCCAAAGAATCTTCTTAGGCTGTTAACAGACTATATATCCTAAAATAGACTATTAGTCTATTATAAGATATATAGTCAAAAATAGACTAGGATATAGTCTATTTTAAATAGACTATTATAGTCTATTTTAAACTATTGAATAGTCTATTTTAAACTATTACATAGGCTATTTTAGCCCTTGATTTTCCTCCAGGAGCTCTTGCTTCCTTGAATTCTTTTCAGGAGCTTATGCTTCCTGACTTAAATCTTGGACTGGATGTTTCAGGAGCTTAAGGCTTCCTGACTGAAATCTTGGACTGGATGCTTCAGGAGCTTCTGCTTCCTAAGGCGGCTTCTGGCTTATAATTTGCCCAAAACCCCAGATGCAGCACTCCTTTTACTCGCAGTCTCATCCCATGGCTTCCTTTCGAGTGGACTTCACTCTCAGTGAAACTTTTCATCCCAGAGCTGGCTGGCTTTCGAGTGGGCTTTGCGAGCCCACTCTACGGCCTTCTCTTTCCCCAAGCCGTGGCCAAGAGCAAGCCTCTTCGCCTTGGCGTAAAATCGAGATGTGTAGTGGTTCCTACTGTCCGTGCTTTTAAACACGGAGTCAGAGATAATAGTGCTGATCGCCTCCTGGTAGAGCTCCTTCTCCTCGCGGCCGGGCACAGGGGCAGGGTTAACAGACTCCTTCTGCTTCTTGGCAGCTGTGCCGGCTTCTGGATCTTTGGCAGCAGGCCGCTTCTTCGGCGAGGCTTCTGGAGCTTTGCTCGCAGGCCGTTTCTGGACAGCCGCCTCCTTCTGCTTCTTGGTGAGGGGCTTGGCCGGAGAGGCTGCCCAGGCATTCTGCAAAGCTTGCTGTGTCGCCCTTTGCATGAAGTCCATGCTTCCAGATGCCCTTGGCATGCAGCCCATGCTGCCAGAAGCGGGGGTATGGGACACCGGAGGAGTGACAGGTGCAGGTACGACTGCTGCTGCAGGCTCCGTCTCGGCATCCTTCGCTGGCCCGTCCTGGAGTGCAAGTACACCTTTCAGCGGCACTGTCTCCGATGGCTGCACCATGTCCTCCATTTTGAACTTCGGGTTGATCTGCAAGCAGAGGGCCTGCACCTGTTGAAGTGCCTGCTTGTCGAGTTTCTTGGGCATCTTTTCCTTGCCGGTGGCAACATCCCGAATCTTGCCGGCCAGCATTCTGAATCTCAGGTTGAAGTACTGCAGCGACGAGTCTTCCCAGCCTGCAGGGCTTTGAATTTATGGGTTTAGGGGCCGGGTTAGGCACTAGAGTCTTAGGATCCTTAGGCTATACCTATCATGAGATTATAAGCGCCCCCAGCCTGGCAACTTCTGCTGTGGAGCCTGTAGTACCAGGATGTCCCTCTTGAACAGGCCGAGCAAAGCAGTCTGGAGCAAGGCATGGGGTATCAAGCCATTGGTGCAGATCTCGAAGATACGGTTCAAGATCGGAGCGAGGAACACGACCTCCTGGATGTGTTTGCCCAGGGCCGTCTTCCATGAGCATTCATCCAGTCCTCTGCACAGCATGCCGAGTGTGTTGTGGCCCATCTGCCGCAACCCTTTTTCGACGGCATTTTCAAGGGCAGCTGCAGTCACTGACGGCAGCACCTTCAGCCGCTCGCCAACTGTCGGCAGTGCCATGGCAGGAGTCCTACAGCTGCAAACTAAAAAAACTGCACGGGAAAAACATACAATATATATACAACAACCATGCATGCGGGCACATCCTATGGTGTCACCGGATGCCTATAGGAGCTTCTAAGCTACCTTTTTTTTTAGGAGCTGGCGGCTTCCTCGCACATGGGTGGGACCGCCACGTCTTCACGAGGCGGTCCCGTGCGGATCCAGGACTGACACATCCTGGATTTCTTGGTTGCCTGGCTTCCTGGACCCCATTGGCTTGCGGGGTTCATGGAAGCCTTTCTGAGTATATGGTGCATTTGTGCCTTCTGTGCCTTTCCTTGCTTATTGCATTTCTAAAGCGATCGAGTTGGCAGCTTCCTCGCCCTTGGCCTATCTTAATATCCCTCAGGAGCCTTTGGCTTCCTGGACTACAGCTCCTATAGATTCATGCACTCCTTTTTTCCCTCGCAGCGACTTCGATCCCTAGCATATATACACATGTGTCATGACACGTGCATTAAATTATAGCATGGAGCCACTACATGGCACTCATGCCCCGCCGTTTTTGCCGGCAGCCAGCTGCTGTAGCTTGAGGCCGAAGCGGAGGCAAGTCAACAGCCTCAGGGTTCGACGGGCAACACAGGCTTCTTTTTCCCAAGCTCTTTTGGAAACGAACCAGCTGTTGGGCAACACCTCGTTGAGGAAGGCGGTAGAAAGCCACGGGAAGTTCACGTGTTGGTAGCCCACCCACCGTTCCCTTTTGCACTTGCGAGCCTCTGGGTCGAGCTCCTCCTCTCGGGCTTTCTGCAGAGCTGCCTCCACGAGGTCCTTGCCCTCAACGGCTTGGTCGCCCTCGTCTTTCTGCAGAGCTGCCTCCACGAGGTCCTTGACCTCAACGGCTTGCTCGGCCTCGTCTGCCATGGCTGTACTACGGAGGCGAGCGGCGAGCTTGAGCTGAAAAACGGCTGCAGCAGATACGACATGCCCTGAAGATCCTACAAGGAGGCCGAGGCTTAGATTGCTTCAGAACTGCAGGCGCTCAAAATCTCAGAGGAGCCCGAGGCTTCCTTCAGCAATTAAGGAACGAGGAGCCCGAGGCTTCCTTCAGCAATTAAGGAACGGTCCCATTTTTTCTCCTCAGAGCGGCGGTCCAGGCTGTGCAAGGATCTCTGCCAGTTCGATTGACATGGCATCTGTGTACTGCCGCATGAAACGATCCAACGAAGTCAGCATCGTCCGGCTCTTGGTACACATCTTGAGGAGACCCTTGCATTTGGACATATAATCCTCGCCGGAGTATGTCCAAGTCAGCTTGGGGGAAAGATGCCTCGCCAGCTGCAGCCCATGCAGAAACCAGTGTGTCTTGAATGTCAACTGGAAGGCCAGATGGCCCTGCTCCAGAAAGGACTTATTCAAAATCGTCATGCACTGGAAGAGACAAACGGCCGTGAGCATCATCCGATCCGCCACCTCTTTCGAGGGCTTCCAGTCTTCGATGCCATCTGCCATTTGGTCCAAATCGCGGCTGAAACTCAAAGCCAGGGCAATCTGTTGGTGCTCCTCGTTGTCCTGTTGCAGGTGCTGTTGGCAGATGCTCGCCAAAGCTGCAATAACGCCCTTAGTTTCTGCTGCCTTGGCCTTCAAGCGAGGGTATCCCTTTCTGCAGTGAATATCCTGTGGGTCAGCCAGGACCATGGTCTGAGTGATGTAGTTGATGCCATTGCCCTTGTGCTGCCGCCAGTAGTCCTGCAGGGGAGCTGAAGCTGCCTACACACTACAACTTTTATATACCATGTCTCACAACAACAGGAGCTTAAGCTGCCTATACCATATCTGAAAACAGCAGGAGCTTAAGCTGCCTATACATATCTGAAAACAGGAGGAGCTTAAGCTAGCCTATCTGAAAAAAAGGAAAGTTCACAGCCTTCATCTGCAGCAATACATTGTCCAGGTTTTCCTCTACTCCGCCAGGAAGGATCCTCCAGCAGAGAACCCACAACGTTGAGCCAGCCAGCCGCTGGTCGAAGCCGAGGTGCTTGCTGTGCATCCAGTCCGGAATCACACCACTGGGGCTCACAAGGTGTCGCAGGAGAGGGCAGCAGCTGCGGCGAGGGCAGTGCCATGGATCCACAGGAACCTCCGCCACGTTTTTGTAGTCGAACATATTGTCTTTGCTGATGTTGCAATGCCCGCAAGGGAAGTTGGAATTCCACCGTGGCAAGTTGTGACTCGTGTTGTACCATTCCAAGTCACCAGTCAGAAAAGGAGCACCGGGAACAAGTCATTGTTCGTCTTGCATTCTTCGAAACATCGTTCAAAGGCCCGAACGACGTGTCCCCAGATGCTGGCCACAGTGTTGCCACAGGAAGACACCACGATCTGCTCAGTCCAAACAGCACTTATCAGCACATGGACGAGCTTTGAAGAGGTCTGTGAGGAGAGCAGGCTTCTCCAAGAGATAAAAGCACAAGACCTGTCCTTGCTGTCAATCGGAACTCCATCGCCGTGCAGGATCAGCGGTACCGCTCTGGATTGGTAGTTCTTGATCTTCTTCACGGGATGGTGCAGGAGTGCAGGGTGCGAGGAGCCGACCTCTCGCCAAAAGTTCGCTATGTCACCATCGTTCCTGCAGCATAACTCACGGAAGACCATTGGCTGTCGCTGCAGCGACCGAAACACGTCAACAGGGTCCAAAAACGGGATCGCAGCCCGGAGAGCTTTCTTGATGGGCACACACACGTTGCTGCTCACAAGAGCAGGCATTTGAGTGTGCCTCAATAGGTCTCTCCGGAGATTTCCCTGATATAGGCCCCGAGAGCCGAGATTGGCAAGTATGCGAATCTCGGCTTTCACTGGCTCCAATGCATCTTCTTCCACCAGTGCAGCCACCACCTGTACTTCTGGCAAAGACATCTTCCCCCAGCCGAATGACCGCAGAAGGTGGGTCGCCAATCGGCTGGGTTCTGGAACTGCTGCCGAAGTTTGTGCAGCACGTTTCGCAGCTCTTTGTTTGGATCCTCCCCGCTGCATGATGTCCGGATCCATGGCGGCACACATCTCACAGATCTACTGCAAAAAATTCAAGGCTTGGGAGGACTGCTGAGGATAAACAAATATTGTCTAGCGGCCACAAAACAGGAGCCTCTGGCTTCCTTAATTGTACATTAGCTTCAAGGAGCCTCTGGCTTCCTTATCCTACATTATCTTCAAGGAGCCTTCGGCATCCTCATATACGTGTGCTCCTCGAAAAAAAAACCCTAAGCCCTATAACCCCTTTGGGTGCCCTGACCCCTTTGTGGTTTAGAACAGGTATACCCTAAAGACCCTAAGCCCGAACCCTATACCCTAAAGTGCTATTGTGGAAAAACCTTAAAACCTTAAACCCTTACAGACCCTAAAACCCTAAGGGTTTGGAGGGTTTAGGCTTAGGGGGGTTTAAGGGTTGATGGCTTTCAGGGTTTAGGGTTTGGGGCACTGGACTCTTCAGGGTTCTTTTCAGGGCAGGCTTAGCGGGTTCAGGGTTTAGGGGGTTACGGTTTAGGGTATATCTTTCTATCTTATATATATATATGTGTGTATATATATATATATGAATATATATATGAATATATATATATATATATATATATGAATATATATATATATATATATATATATACATATACATATATACATATATACATATATACATATATACATATATACATATACACATATATACACATACATATACATATACATACATATACATATACATATGCATATACATATGCATCTACATATACATATACATATACATATACATATACATATATATACATATACATATACATATATATATATATATATATATATATATAAATAAAAATGTATATGTATATGTCAATGTATATGTATATATATATATATATATATGTATATATGTATATGTATATGTATGTATATATATATATATATACACGTTGGGTGGTGGGTGGTGGGTGGTGGGTGGTGGATAGCGGGCGGTGGGCGGTGGGTCGTGGATGGTACGTGGCGATGGGCGGTGGGTGGTGGGTGGTGGGTGTGGGTGCCGTGGGTGCTGTGTCGTTGGTGGTTGGTCGTGGGCGGTGGGTGGTGGCTGGCGGGTGGTGGGCGGTGGGTCGTGGATGGTTGCTCGTGGCGGCGGTGGGTGGCGGGTTTTGGGTGTGGGTGCCGTGGGTGCTGGGTCGTTGGTGGTTGGTCGTGGGTGCTGGGTGCTGGGTGGTAGTGGTGGGTGCTAGGTGGTGGTGGGTGTTGGGCAATGGGCGGTGGGTCGTGTGTGGTGTTTGGGTGGTGCTGGCTGGGTGATTTTCCGGTGGTCTTTTTCGTCCGGGCACTGAAAAATTCAGTGCCCGGACAGAAAGCGCCACCGGGTGAGTTGGGTGTTGAATCGAAGTTTCATCGAAGTTTCGATGAAACTTCGATTCATGAGTCGAAGTTTCATCGAAACTTCGATCAAACTTCGATTCAGTGAATCGGAGTTTCATCGAAGTTTCGATTGCTCCGAGTCGGAGTTTGATCGAAACTTCGACTCGTGAGTCGAAGTTTGATCGGAACTTCGACTCATGAGTCGAAGTTCCGATCAAACTTCGATTCGCAATCGAAACTTCGATGAAACTTCGATTGGGCAGTAGAAGTTTCGATCAAACTTCGACTGCTCGGAATCGAAACTTCGATCAAACTTCGACTGCATGAGTCGAAGTTTGATCGAAGTTTCGATGAAACTTCTACTATGTGAATCGAAGTTTCGTCGAAACTTCGATCAAACTTCGACTCCTTCGGTGGCGCTTTTTTACCGGGCATTGAAAATTTTCAATGCCCCGTGAGAAAAGCACCACCGAAGGAGTCGAAGTTTGATCGAAATTTCGACGAAACTTCGACTCACCTTAAGCCCTACCCTAAACTCGCAAACCAGAAGCCCTGAACACCTTGCTATCCCCAAGCCCGTGAAAACCCTAAACCTTATAACCTAAACCCCTAAAACGTCCTTAAACCCTAAAGCCCCTAGCTTAGACCTAAACCAAAATACCTAAGCCGAATACCCTAAACCCGTACAAATAAACCCCTAAACCCACGTTACCTCTAAACACCCTCCCACCCAAACCCGAAACCCCCGAATCTCAAACCTAAACCCTTATACCCTAAACCCCTGAACCCACGTTACCCCCAAACCCGAAACCCTCGAATCTCAAACCCAAAACCCCATACCCTAAACCCCTCAAACCCTAAACCCATGAACAGGCTACATCCCAACTCTAAACCACCGAATCTCAAACCCTATACCCTAAACCCCTAAACCCCTGAATCCTGAACACCCGAACATCCCAAATCCAATATCGTGAAAACCCTAAACCCCTATAACCCCAGCCCGCAACCCTCAATTATAGCCTAACCCTTTAACTCGAGAAAAGCTGCAACCAAAAACCCTAAACCCGAGTACTCCAGAAAACCCAGACACCTCAACCAAAAAAATCATCTATCTCAAAACTTATGGCCCTGCAAACCCTAAAGCCTCAGAGTTTAACTTAAGAAACATCCACCAAACCCGAAGATAAAGTCTTCTTTGGAGGAGCCGAAGGCTTCCTTTGCAACATACACCTAGGATATATATAATATTCTCTTAGGAGCCTTTGGCTTCCTAAAGCTCACATGCATACATGCACTTCTTTTTCGTCGCAGCAGCTGCTTCGATCCCCAGAGCAAACATGCACATGTGTCATGACACGTCGATCCTAAAAGACGAATTGTAGAATGGAAACATTCAAAATCAAATGAGGGCAGTCATGCCCTTGATCAAATCCTGGGCTGCGAGCAGGCCAGTTGCAGCCTTTTGCAACAGCGACCTCAGCTCAGCAAGCGAAAGGTTCTTGAAGAGCTTCGCTTTCTCGAGATCCGAGTGCAAGGGCATCAAGTCCTCCCAAGCCTTCTGGAGCTGGCCCTTGAGGGTCGTCCACACCGAGCTTTTGCTCAAAGCTGCCGTCTCCTTTGAAAGCACTTTGGAAACACTGATCCTCGTGGCATTTGCCCACTGCAAGGCTTCCTCCACCTTCGTACTAGCTTCCGCAGTCCAGCTCTCTGCTCCCGGTTTGTCACACAAAGCCAGAAGGCCACCCTGGAGCTCTGAGCCACATCCAGCAGCACGGTCCGGTTCCAGGCATGGTTGGAAGTTTGCGAAGAAGCTGTCGAATCCCTCGGCGGCGGAGTCGGTGATGCTCTGGTCGGGCTTCCTGAGCTGATGGGAACAAAACTTAGTATCTATAGCTCATTCAAGCTTTTAAAACATAAGCCTCTAAATGCTCCGTAGCTTCGATGTCGACATCCTATTGTTGGTGCCAGTCTCATTGGTGACGACGATCTCTCTGAAGCAGTAGAACAAGGAACCATTGTTGTTCACCTCATACACATCCCCGGTGGCCAGAGCTTTCTTGAAAGCTTCCTCCCCTCCCAGCTTGGCCACCATCAGTGCTCTGGGTTTGCCCTTCACCTTGTCCTTGCCACAAACCTTCTTGTAGAAGGTGCTCAGCTGCTGGAGCACGGCGGACTCGGTGTTCAGCTTGTACATCTGGCCGGCCTTGCCCCCGGATTTCTTCTCAACCGCACCATTGATGAGCTTCGTCTTGTCGGCCTCAGATGGTTGCACAGCAGGAGCCAAAGGCTACCTCAAGGATCAAAAGCCTATGGCAATTATAGCAGGAGCCAAAGGCTGCCTCTGACGGTGCCTCCTTTATAGGGCCAAAGCCTAGATATCAAAATGTGGCAAGGCACCCGTGACACTTTCTCAGAGAGAAACAACTTCTGGATATCGTCCGGCATGGTGCTCAAGTGCTTCGAGAACCACCATGCCTTGTTCTTGTCCCTGCTTTCCCCCTGCCCGGCAGGCGGCTGGGGCTCGCTGTTGCAAAGCTGCAGGTCGCCCAGCTTCGCCGCTTTCTCACGGTCCTGGTCCGAGCGAGACTTTTTCGCCTTGCTGCTTTCCTCCGGCGGGCTGCCCGGTCGCTTCTCCGTACCGTTGTCGGGGGGGTTCGGCTCTTCGACCGTGCTTCCCTTGCCCTTGGCCTTGGCTTTGGCCTTGGCTTTGGCCTTCGCCTTGGCCTTGGCTTGGGGCTTGGTGGCCTTGCTGTCGCTGTCGGCCTTCTCGTCCTGCTCGTGCTCCTGGCTCGACTCCTGCTGCTTCTCCTCCTTCGCCACGGCCTCGTCGCCCGCCTTCTCGTCCTCGCTGGACTTCTCGGACTTTGCCGCCTTGCCTTTGGCCTTTGCTTTAGGCTCCTCGGCGGCCTTGCTTTTGGCCTTCGCCTTTGCCTTGGCCTTGGCTTGGCCTTGGCCTTGGCCTTGGCTTTGGCCTTGGCCTTGGCCTTGGGTGCAGCCTCAACCTCGCTAGCTTCAGGCTCTTGAGGCTCCGGGACTTCCTGAACTACCTCCACTTCTTGAGTGTCTTCTTGCTGAGTGTCGAGCTCTGGCTCACTACCCTTTCCACCGAAGAACACGTCCAAGGCACTCTGGCTCATGGCTTCAAGCGAGGGTGAAACACGTCTTGTCTTGAGCTCCAGGACTGCAGCACGGTATGCAGATGACAAGGGGCCTGGGCTGACATGGGAGCCTCTAGAGTGCTACAGTAATCCTCGGCCACGGTCAAACTCTAGCTTCAAGCTTCAGGAGCCCAAGGCTTCCTGTTCTAAACCCTCTGAGGAGCCTGAGGCTTCCTGTCCTAAACCTTCTGAGGAGCCTGAGGCTTCCTGCCCTATTGAAAAACTGCAAGAAGCTCGCAGGCGGGTTTAGGGTTTGGGGCTTTAGGGTTTAAGGGTTTAAGGTTTAGGGTGCATATAGTGCTCCTGTTATAACTGCTGCACCTCTACCACTTCAAGGAGCCTGAGGCTTCCTGCCTTAAGTCACTTACAGTACACAACACGGACACAAAACTTTTTTCTGCAAGAACCGATCGTGCATTATGCTCGCTGCATGGTCACACGGCTGGAGTTCCCCAGCTTTGCGAGGAACCCCATCCACCAGAGGAGCCCCATCCACCGCCGTTCTTGTCACCG